TAGAACAGTGGGCAACTGGACGCAACTAGTCGCTGCTGATCGCTTCCAGTTGCTCGAAATCCAGTTGCTTCCAGTCGAGTCGGCTCGCAAGCCCTACATAAGCCCCCCTTTAGGGTATCTTACCTTCAGTAGGGTGCTGACTATGTGCTTGTGACCGGTATAGCAGGCTATGTAGAGCGGCGAGTAGCCCGTGACGGGATGGCATCGCCCGTCCGCCCCCGCGTCAATCAACAACTCCACCACCTCCTGATTGCCGTCCTGACAGACTCTGTAACCGTGACAACGACGATGAGACGGCGGTATCCATAGCAACCATGATGAGATGGCGGTAACCATAGCAACCGTGATGAGATGGCGGTAACCATAGCAACCGTGATGAGGCGGCGGTAACCATAGCAACCGTGATGAGACGGTGGTAACCATAGCAACCGTGATGAGATGGCGGTAACCATAGCAACCACGATGAACCGGCGGTAACCATAGCAACCACGATGAACCGGCGGTAACCATAGCAACCATGATGAAGCAGTGAGGCTGGGTGATGGGGAGGGTGTAGAATGCGACGGAAGGGAACAAGAGAGGGAAGGATAGGACAGGGGAGAGGAGGGGAAGGGAGGAGGAAGAATTAAGGGAGGGGTTCAAATTCGAATCCAAAATTACCGATGTTCCGAATCTTACATCTATCAACAATGTCTACCTGCATAATCTCATCTGTAATGTATATGTGTTTTACATGTAATGTATGTGTTTAAGATGTAGTGTATCGGTGTTTTACGTGTACCGTATAGGTGTTCCGCCTGTACCATACACATGTTTTTTGTGTACCATATGTGTTTTACCTGTATTCGATATGTGTTCTGCCTGTATTGTTCAGGTGTTTTACCTGTAATGTATGTGTTTATGCTGTACCATATAGGCATTTCACATGTACCATAAAGGTGTTTCACACGTACTGTATTTGTTTCCGATCTACTGTATAGGTATTATCTGTATTGTATAGATCACAGTACCACAGTACACACCAGAGATTTCACCTTAACCACATAGGTGTTCTACTCATACCATAACAGTGTTTTACGTGTACCATAATGGTGTTTTACGTGTACCATAACAGTGTTTTACGTGTACCATAACAGTGTTTTACGTGTACCATAACGGTGTTTTGCGTGTACCATAACAGTGCTTTACGTGTACCATAACGGTGTTTTACGTGTACCATAACGGTGTTTTACGTGTACCATATAGGGGTTCTACGTGTACCATATAGGTGTTTTACATGTACCATAATGGTGTTTTACGTGTACCACATAGGTGTTTTACATGTACCATAATGGTGTTTTACTTATACCACGTGGGTGTTTTACGTGTACCATATAGGTGTTCTGCTTATACCATATAAGTGTTCTACTTGTACATACAGATGTTTTACGTGTACCACATGGGTGTTTTACGTGTACAGTACAGGTGTTTTACGTGTGCTGCGCACGTGTTTTCACCTGTAGAGCAGGGTGTTCTGCTTGTACCATATAGGTGTTCTACGTGTGCTGCGCACGTGTTTTCACCTGTAGAGCAGGGTGTTCTGCTTGTACCATATAGGTGTTCTACGTGTGCTGCGCGCGTGTTTTCACCTGTAGAGCAGAGTGTTCTGCTTGTA